TATACATATTCTGCTGTACAAAAAAAATCATCTATCTAAGATACTTTGAGGGCGGAAGATCAGACTGTCCTACAARATATGTAAGCCGAAGGCACTGGCAATGAGGTAGGATTGAAGCTTCCTGCATTTCAAGAGTTGTGATTCAACTGTCAATTTGATAATCTATTAGGACCTGGTCTACACAGTAAATAATACTTAAATAAACTAAAGAGTTTTCATAATCTTGACACATTCCGGTTGAATGATAGCAATACAAATATTGATCAATTTTAGAATTATTGGAGTTAATGAATTTGTAATGAATCTATCGACTCTGAACATAGCCTACCTAATTTTTCCTTTTAAGTTTTACCATGAACGCCTCTTTCGGCTGTAATTCGTTTTTGGAATACTTTCGGGTTTTTTACAAAACTAACAATCATCARGCTAGTGATGATGAGGGTTTTGTACTAGAGCGAAATTTTGCTCTTACTATACTTACTTGAATACCTACTAAGAATATGAATATAATCGGTATTACATTCATTCTTAAACATCTATCTATCAGTGTGTTTTGGCTTTTGCTTAAGTTCAAGAAATTACGATAATTGTAAGAATTAATGTTAATTTTAATTAAAAGTGTTCGCCAACAACGTTTTGTCCTTTGGTCACCTGATTTTTAGCGGCGAAATTAGTAAACGCTCCGTAAAAACAGTGGACTGACCTCTTTCAAAAGAAGGGGGAGGTTAAGGGAATGGACGAAAGCGTAGTTGAAAATAAAAGAGTTTGGCTTTACGCCTAGGGCCACCAATCTCATGTAAACAGGTCCTAATAGTCACTACTGTAAGTCTTGATGAAACGCTTGGGATTTACAACTGCCTCACACACCGCGTCAAAAAAATGCAGTTGCTATGTTATTCTTGTAAATATATAACAGAATCATTCTGTTATTCAATTATTTAATCATTCAATCATGCTGTTTGTTCAGTACAGGTCCTTGAGTTGCTACGCACACACACGCATCATTATACAATGGATAACGAAAATAGTGAACATGACGTTTAGAGCACCTTTTTGGTGACAGGTGGTTTTTTTGGGTAGGTAAGGGTATTTTACATCATTTATATCGTGCACTTTGTTTACTTTTTTTCATCCTTCATAAMTTTATTTCCCTCCTTAAATTTTGCTATATTTCTAGTGTTTTCCTTTGCAAACTATTTCAATAAGATAAGGTTAATGGTTTAAAGAATGATCACTTCGACCTGTCCTTTCCTGGAAACAACTTTAGTAGATAGTGGTATTGACTTCACTTTATCTCCTTTCCTGTTTCCATCGCTGCTTTCTGATTCCTTTGCCTTGCACAGCTTACAATAGAGATTTCGTGCTCGCTTGTTGAGAGCAAAGGCAATGGCGATGTAAACCCCTTGCAAAGAACTCAGGATCACATACACGTACCAAAGGAAAATCCATCCGAAGGGTGCAGCGAAGCCAAAAACCCACGTGAAGCCCATTACGGACGCTATACGTACGTAAACGCCAAAATCACGCTTGTTGGCGGGGCTCTCGACCATTCTGGCTTGGCTACGGGTAGACCTGATCGCTTTTACTGTCAAGGAGAAGAAGACAATGTTGAAGATGGTGATCATTCCTAGAGGAGTTGCAAAGATAATCCACTTGGCATTGAAGTTGGAAATCCAGCAGGCTACACGTGACCCATACCCTATTGCGACTGTCTGTGATTGGTCAAGAGCCACACAGATTGACACGTACACCATGACAGACAGCCATCCAACAGCCATATATCGTAAGGTATGGAGCATTTTTTTTCGCCCTGAAACGGG